TGCCGAAGCACCACAGACTGAGGCAATGTGAAGATCACGAGTTTAAAGGCCACACTGGAAAAACTCAATAGGAGAGAAAATCCTCACAGCCCTGAAGCCAAACTGACACAGCAAATGACATTTGGACTGTTAATAATTATCATCCTCCGTCACCCCATTAAATATTAAATAAAGCCTATTAAATGTAAAGTAATAGCCCGTGAATTCGCTGGTGTTGTTGAACATCTGTTTCCTCTCGCACTGACACTAAAGCATTGATTCAATGCGTTGATGATGCAATGGTGCGACATTAGCAACACTGTAAAAAAAAAAATTCTGTAGTTTTTACAAAATAATTTTGGCAGCTGTGGTTGCCAGAATGATTTTGTAAAAAAAATACAGAAAAACTGTAAACACATTTAAGGCCAAAACCTGTAAATTTTACAGTATAAAACTGTAATTTACAAACAAGAAAATGTAAATGTAAACCAGTAAATTCAACAATGCACACTGCTATTAAAATCTGTTCTGTAGTTTTTACAAAATAATTTTGGCAGCTGTGGTTGCCAGAATGATTTTGTAAAAAAAATACAGAAAAACTGTAAACACATTTAAGGCCAAAACCTGTAAATTTTACAGTATAAAACTGTACCAAAATTACATTTAAAGCCATTAACATAAATCAATATACAACAGCACTGTAACGGTCTCATATTTCAAAGGTTTACTGGCTTATATTTCCCAATTCATCCTTAGTCCTATTTTGTTAAAAACTGTAATGAGATTAAATGATTTAATTATAGTACTAAAATACAGATACAAGTTAATTTTATTCAAATGTTTACTCACAGTATACTATTTACTGTGATAAACATACAATATACATTACTGAACATTCAGGAGAAAAGACTAACCAGATGTCTATGTAAATGTGGGCTAACTGAAAGAGCATGTAATAATGCAAACACTGATGATGTGATGTATGCCATTTCATCATGTTTTTATTGGTTTATGGTCACATTCAAATGTGGCCTGCAGAAAAACATCACTGGAAGCTTGTTGCACATGTGCATGATGTTATCTACTTCTCCGATCATCCAAACTGAGCATTATAATATAATAATATAATTTCGCAAAGCTGTAGTCTTGTGTATAAGGAACAGAAACCAAGTTTAGGACAGAAAAATATATTATTTTCTAAACAATTGCAATGCATTTTGCACCACAGCGCCCCATCTGGAGACACTTGGTCCCACGGCTTCTAATTGTAGACACACCACTTATTAAATTCCATGCGTTTAGCATGAGCAAAAATGGTTCAGGCAATGAGAAAGAGCAAAATGTCATTCAGTGAGTCATTGGAATGGATGAAGTTCCATGTATCAGCATTGATAGAAGCTATTTCACATGGCTTGAAGAATGTACGCTGAGTTTCAAGTAAAATCTCCAATCTGATTTTCCATATGGGAGCTCACAATTACCGTGGTGGGAGAGACCAACAATCCTACTGGCACATTGCACATGTCTCAGCTGCCAGCATCAATGTGTAATGGTCAGAACAGCATATCCAGATATAGCTAAAAATGCACAAAACTGTAATGATTTTATTTAGTTATTTTTTTACCTCACTTTCTTTGAGAAAGAGGCGTAATTACACTGTAAAAAAAATTCTGTAGTTTTTACAAAATAATTTTGGCAGCTGTGGTTGCCAGAATGATTTTGTAAAAAAAATACAGAAAAACTGTAAACACATTTAAGGCCAAAACCTGTAAATTTTACAGTATAAAACTGTAATTTACAAACAAGAAAATGTAAATGTAAACCAGTAAATTCAACAATGCACACTGCTATTAAAATCTGTTTTGTACCTTTAACATACTGACAACCACCATAATAATGCAGGTGGTAAAAGAGAAAGCCACATGAAGAATCAAAGCTCATCATAAGCAGCTTCGCCACAAGCAGAAGTATATACTAATATATAGAAGGTGCACAGAGTCATTCATGCAAACATAAAACACCATCAGGTAACACACATGATACTTAACTAATGCATTACACTTTCATTAAACAACAGAAGATGTAACATAAAGCCCAAATATACACAACTAATAACAAAAACTATTAAAAAAACATGATTATTTAAAATTTTAAATAAATTTTAAATAAAAAAAAAAACGTTCAAATGGGGGGTGTCATGCAGGGAATTTTGGGAATATCAGTTTAAAGTTTTTGGCTGTAAATTACACATTGATTTGTTATTTTTAATTTTAAAAAATGTAAAATTAACAGCATTTTACTGTAAAATTACATGAAATGTCTGGTTAGATATTTTACAGTTTTTCCCTGTATATAGCACGGGAACTTACTGTTAACCTATTAACAGTTTTTTTCCCATAGCGTTTTTACAATATTTTACAGTTAAAATTACACTTATTTTTTACAGTGAAGGTTAATGAGGAGGAAGCTCTGGTTTGAGTTTAGCAGGTTGTCTCACAGTTTTAAAACGCTTTTGCAGTAGATATGTAGTATATGTCAGTTCTCTTTAAACTCAAACACATTCTAGAAGAGTAAAAACATGTTGCAATTCTTGTCTTCAGTTTCAACAGTAGAGCTATAGATTTGTAACGTAAGAACCTTAAAAGTTGCATTTCTTTCTTTAAGCTAAATGCCACTTGCTTTGTGTTTCATTTAATACAATGATATTCATTCATTTTTATACTTTTTCCAGAAGGGTAAGCTCTTCAAACTCACTGAAATAAGTGTCCAATTCAACTTAAAAGCGTAAGTTTAGTTGCTGCTTTACATTTTGAAGTATAATCAAACTGACTGTACAAGTCCTTTCAATTCATTTTTGTTTTAAAAACGTGTCTAGTTGACTTTGGTGTAACTTAAATGAAGTTGAAACTGGTTGAATTCTTTGACGAGTTAAAGTAATGGAAAAACATAACCCATGTTACAGATCATGTCAAATGAAAACAGGACTTATGCACTATAAGTTCTCTGAAATCATGCAATAGCTTTGCATGAGGAAAAGACACAGATTTAAGTCTTCATTCAATAATAATACTTTAGATTCAAATGTACCATCAGTGACACCAAATGGTTCTCATGTGTCTTTTAATGCAATTTGGATGCAGACAGCTCTAACTTAAAGCATAGTCCTGGCAAGACAAAATGTAGTTCATAAACAATAACCCCAAATCAATCCGATTCAGACAGTGAAATTATTCAAGGAAAGAAATAAAAACCTTTTTCAGGCTCATCACATGATCCAAGCATTTCCAGTTTTTACAACCTCAAATCTATCAGAAACATCAGTCATGTCTGTCTCAACAGCTGTGTGCAGACATATTAATACATTTTAAAAAGCCCTCTGGTGTTTCAATCAACTGTCTGATCCATGCATCATAATTTTGCCCTAATACAAATCTGAATGCTGGAAATAAATCCATATTTGGAAACGTTCATTTCAGAGAAACAATGAAATCTGTGGGAGATGAATATATCGAATGGTTATAGAGATTTACACAGCCTGAGGACGAGTCCTGTACGAGGATATTCGTCCCTCCCAAAACTACTATATTACTTTTATTGGAAATTTGGGATCATTATTTTTGTATATTTATGTACCCATGCATGCAGCTGTCCCTGAATTTACTGACTTGTTTCTATAATGCACAGGAACAAAGCATAGCATTTTGATTGTAACACTTATGCATGTGGGGGAAAAAAAAACTTTTAGCATATATTTTGTCCAACATAAACATTCTACCTGAAGCTTTTACATGCAATTACTGTAAAAAGAAAAATCCAATTAATTCAGCTTAATCATTTATGGTAGCAACTGAACTCAAGTATAAGTATAATCAAATTGGCCATACAACTCATTTCAAATGGAGAAAAAGCATACACTTTAATCTTTTTGGGGGAAAAAACACATAAAAAACAAAACAACAAGTATGTTGCATGAAAGAAAGTCACATTAGTTTTATATGAAGAATGAGTAAATTATTCCTTTGATTCACTTTTGGGTTTAAAACAATTCATTTAAAGTTTGAACTTTATTTCAATACCAAAAAAATTTGGTATTTCAAAAAAATTAAGAGATTCTATTGTATTTCTGAGTTGGTCAATCATGCTAGAATGGAAGAATGCATGTCAATGCTGGCTTCAAAGGCCATCTCTTTGTGTGTCGCAGTAGGAATCCAGTTGCAGTTTGAGTTTTCTGCTCCATTAACCCCTCCGGCAAAAGACAATCTTGAATCATTCCAGCTATGAATTGCATGTTTCATGCATACGTCTGATATGAGGACAATAACCAAGAGAATTTACAAATGGAGCTGATCAGGAACTGATCAGGAATCAGTTATTCTGATGTAACACAACACCTGAAGTCAATAATTCACTTCACATTACTCTACAGACACCTTGAGGGCTTTAGCACTGAGCTGAGAAATGAGAGGCAGACAGAATATGTAGAGACGGATGGATGTAGAGCGATGGAGAACATGCATCTGGTCTGTGATGGTTGAGCGCACGGCTGGTTTGTCCACCGCTAAACAGAAAGAAAACAGCACTGCCTGAATGAACAGAACAAAGGAGATGAAAAGAGAGAATGCACACATGTGTTTGAAGAAGAATGCACGGCTAATGAAGATAATCAGGGAAGAAATGTTTAGAAGAATATTTTAAATACGAGAATCTGTTTTTTGTTTTCAGAAACATTGAAGTGGACGATGAGAAGCTCTTAATGTTGGTCACAAGTCTGACATAAGACTGTCATAAGATGGTGAGATTGAAAACACTAATAAAAATTTGAAATGCAACTAACTTGCAGCAAACAAACATTTATTTATTTTATATGTATTTATATTTTTATATGTTTGCTTATTCGAAATGAACAAAATGTAATAATGAGTGAGTACATCATAGAAGTTTAGGCCTACTATCTTCCAAACCATGTTTTTGTCTTACCCTAAATCACTATGGTAAAAATGATTAATATTTTAGAGCTGTTGGGAGCAGGGTCAGAAATTACCTTTTACATTAAGAGGCAATTTTTGCCCCCTGGAATTGATGTTTAAAATTATATCTAAATTATATGTTTAAAAACTGGAGCTAATAGGGCTGTAATATTATGACAACAATCGTTATTGTCGAATATTGCTCTTGATATTGTAATAATTAATGATTATTCATGTTGATTAACAGAATACATATAAAAACTTTTTTGTGTTTTGTGTCTGCATTGGCGCGTTTTCAGCGCTGACTAATCTAAGTGTCTTTGATTGGTCATAGCATTCCTAAGTTCAATGGAAACGTGTGTGATTGGTTATAAGGCTCAACGCTGAAAAAAAAAACAATGCGTAAAAAGCAATGTAATTCTGCGAATAGACACTTTTCCTTAATTTTCACATTAAATTTTAATTGCTACAGCCGCAATTGACTGTTTAATTGTACAGGGGCCAGGGGCGCCGCTATGCTTTCTGGACCCCCTGAACAGCATATTGACCCGGGGTCCCCGCAGTTGCATTCCGGGGTGGGGGGCTATGTCTCCCTCAGTAGAAATCACGTTCCAGGCCCCCTCTCCCTTGTCGGGCCCTTGGAATCATCCCCCCCCCCCCTCATTACGGTTGGTGTGTGTGTGTGTGTGTGTGGTTTATGGAGTATGTTCAGTCTCCGTGTGTGTGGAGCGTAGGTCACTTAATGAAAGCCGATTATCCTGTGTGTGTCACCGTTGGCTGTTAACCTCCTCACCCCTCCTGTGGGCTGACCGTGGGGGGCCGTGAGCGAGTGAGTGAGGGAGGGGGAGCAGCCACCAGCCTCGCTGCGCCCGGCCCTGGCAGAGCTCCTACTCGAGCCCCCTGCTTCCCACGGCCTGCTGGGCCTCAGACCCGAGGCTGTCTGCCCCAAACACCAGCCAACCAGTCAAGCAGCACTGCCCACCTGCCCGGCCCCAGGGCGCGCACACACACACACACACACACACACACACACACACACACACACACACACACACACACACACACACACACACACACACACACACACACACACACACACACAAACAAAGACAGGCCTCCTGCTCATATTGTGTGTGTGTTTCATGAGAATGAGGCATGAAATGAGCAGCAATGAAGCTGGATGTGATTCTGTATCCAAAGAAAACTCACAGGTCAAGAGATTCCACCAAAAATGACAATTCTGTCACCTGTCGTGCTTGCTCTGGCAGAAAAAGCAACTGTTTTTTTTTTCTTGGACGTCATCAAGTGATGTCTAAGACTGTAATCCGCATTTAATTGTGTCTCCATTGTTTTTTTTCTTTTGTTTTCTTATGTTTACAGTTGTAATTGTTCATTTTTATACTGTATTCTAATGATTTACGATTCTTAATTTTTTGTTTTATTTTGCTATCTAAACTGTTTAAGGATTATTTATTTTATTTTATTTAAATTGTTTATAATAATTGATTTTATTTCTTTATTTTGTTATCCTAACTGTTTATGATTGTTTATTTTATTTTATTTTATTTTATTGTAACTGTTTTAGGAGTTTGTATACATACAAACTCCTAAAACAATTATATATTCCTTTTAATTCAACATTTTTTGAATGATTTTATTTGATTTTTTTTACTTTATTTAGCTATCTGTTATCTGTATATACTGTTTACAATGGTTATATTATTTTTTGTTTTGATATCTTAACTGTTTATAAATTTTTTTTTTAATTTAAATTGTAATTTTATTTGTTTGATTAGCCTTTGATTAGCCTTATTATATTGTAGGATTATATATTTTTAAATATTTTATTTTATATTTGTTTTTATTCTATCCTAACTGTTTACAGTGTTTATTTTAGTTTTTAGGTTTATTTTGCTCTTCTGATTGTTTATAGGTTTTTATTTTATTTTGCTATTCTGCTATCCTATTTTATTTTATCCATTGGTTGATATGAAAACAGATTTCTATACCCAAATCCATTTGAAAAGGTGGTCTGGTATGTGGATCGTGTGAACTCTGGTTCATTTTGAAATTGGCATGAAACCAAATCCGGCATAACTTGCAGAAGTGTATCGCTAATGATAACACAATTTGCATCATTGCACAATTCACACTTACATCTCACAGCTGTTCAGAGAGCAACTTGCAATTCTTTGCATCTCTTGCACATATAAAGTTTTAGTGAAACTCACATTAATGATGCAAATGTGCTCTGTTTGGCATCACAGGTACAATGTGAAAACAGACCTGTAGGGCCGAAGGGAATGGAGTGAGTCGCGGTCTGGTGTGGATGAAGCAATCAAACTCAGAGAAAAAACAGCCTGAAACACAGAGATGTCTGCAGCCCAACTTTGATTATTAGATGTGTGCGAATGTAATTATGAAACATCACACACACACACATTCATTGCTCAACTTTTTAAGATGATCCCTTGCGTTGTTTCCGTGTGGTATTGTTATGTGTTAGTGTGTGTGTGTGTGTGAATGAGGGTCGTTTATCTTACTCAAGCTGTTCTTGTATAAAAGCCCTCCAGCTCGGCCCACACAACTCAATTTGACCATCTCACAAAACATTATTAACTGCGAAACACCCTCCCTCTCGCTCTCTTCAGTGGACTGATGTCTTCTGCTTTGCGTTTGGATCGTGTCGTGTGTGTCTGTGTTTGTTTGTGCTCCCCAGATGGGGGTGACCCTGACCGGCCCCTCCTGCTGAACACCCACCTGTCATACACGCCCACACACACACACACACACACACACACACACTTACTTCATGTGAAGCTTTAAATGTAAGACAGGCCATGAGACTCTCATTAGATGTCTAGATGAGATACTAGACATTCAGAAATGATAAAACAGTTAAACTTTAAACTGAAACAGAGTTTGACTAGGTGACATGAAAATATCCAAAGGCAAAATTTATTTTGGCAAAATTTCTGTGCTGTTTTTCAACAACTCAAGATTTCTGTTTCAAATAAACACTGTTCTTTTGAACTTTCTGTTCGTCAAGGAATCCTGAAAAATAAAATGTATTACTGTGTTCACAAAAATATTAATCAGCACAACTGTTTTCAACATTGATAAATGTTTCTTGAGCAGCAAATCAGCATAGAATGATTTCTGAAGGATCATGTGACACTGAAGACTGGAGTAATGATGCTGAAAATTCAGCTTTGATTACAGGAATAAATTACATTTTACAGTATATTAAAATAGAGAACATTTATTTTAAGTTGTAATAATATTTTTAGTATTGTCATACGATTAATCGCGATTAATTGCATCCAAAATAAAAGTTTTTGTTCATAAAATGGAGTGTGTGTACTGTGTATATTTATTATGTATATATAAATATATATAAGTATAAGCATACATAAATACACACACATACATTATATATTTTGAAAATATTTACGTCTATATTTATATTCATATAATTTATATTATATATACATATATTTTATATATGAAAATAACATATTTTTCCGAAATGTATACATGCATGTGTGTGTATTTATATATACATAATATATATAAACACAGCCCACACACATATATTATGTAAACCAAAACTTGTATTTTGGATGCGATTAATCGCGATTAATCGTTTGACAGCACTAAATATTTCAAATTTTTTACTGCCTTGGAGAGCAGAAGAGGCTTTCAAAAGCAACAGAAAATTGTAATTATTCCAAACTTTGACCGGTTGTGTATAGTTATATGTTATATGCACATGGTTAATGTTTTAAACAAAGCTCTAACTCTAAGCATTAAACGTAACACATGCTGCTCTGTTTGTGCTACAGACGTGCTTCATACGGCTTGTTGAGAAAAGGAGAACACATTATCAACACACAAGAAACACTTATGTTTCCTTCAGACTTTGTCATAAACACACAGATGCGAGTGATGACAGACACACGCTCATGAGGAGAGCGGATGTTGGCACAGACAGGCTCTCGCAGCAGATTGTTCCTCTCAGAGGCTGTCGAGGGGTGTGAGGGTGAGGGCTGCGCTGCGCTCCACGAGTTTCAGTACTGTGCTTTTCTTTACTCATTATTAAACAAGTAGCACACATCATAGTATCTGTGTGTATGCTGTTTTTTAGGAGAATCATCAATGACCAGATCAAATGAGTTCCTGTTGAATACTCATGGAATGAAAGTAAGTTCCACCACAGAAAACAAATATATGCTCTAATATTTTATTTTGCTACTTTATTTGTTTTATTTTATTTTGCAATCCTAGCTATGTTGACAATCGACAAATAAATTTTTTTTCTTTTATATTATTATTATTTTTCTTTTTTAATTTTATTTAGCTATTCTAGCTATGTTTAAAATTATTTATTTAATTTTATTTTGCTGTCCCTGCTATATTTACAATTAATTATTTTACTTCATTTTATTTTTTTATTTTATTTTACTGTCCCAACTATTTTATTTTATTTTGCTGTCTCTATATTTACAATTATTTATTTAATTTAATTTTTTTATTTTGCTATTTACAATTGTATTTTTATATTAATTTATTTTATTTTGCTGTCCTAGCTTTGCTCTTTAAAATTGTTTATTTTATTTTATTAATTTTATTTTATTTATAAAACGAGTTAAAATATTCAATTTTATTTTATTTTTTAAAATGTGCATTGCAAAAAAAAAGCAATTTCCATTTTTTTGTATGTGAATAGAATTCTGTTTATAGGTTAGCATTACAGTGTTCAATTTGTTTGTATTAATAATAATGTAATCATCTCAACATTCATTTTGATGTATCGTTTACATTATTGTAATGTTAGAAACAGTTTCTGTGCAAGCTAATATTATTTCCACATTAGGAAGGATGTTCTTTAATGTAACTCTCAGAACACTGTGAAAACTTCCCTCTTATAGATTTTCAGAAACTCATAAACAGGATCCTCATCCCTGAGCAAAGACAGTATGATTTATATTCCAGTCATACTGTCACGGTGTGAAATGAGTTTTTACATTCAGCCACATGATCAGGTAAAACATCTCAAACTTTTGTCATTTGAGGAGTTTAATCTGTAGCGCAGACACGCCTCACATCAAACACTGATTTAACTTGACAAGCTAATAAAACGTGTCTAGGTAACCATTCAAACGCTGGAGATTTGACAACTTGCTCTTTCTCTTTTCCTTGTTCCTCTTCCACACCACGGTTACATTCATATATACCCTAAAAAGAATGAATGATTATGATTGGTGTTGCATCCCAATTAATTGCCCAGATGGCATACTGTCTTTTTTTGTGGTTTAGGTTAATATTATATTACCCACAATTCCTCGGTCTGGGGAAGAGTTTGTGCTGGTTTTCTTTGTTCTTGCAGTTCAGACATTGAGAAACGCAAGTCTGAGTAAGTTTTTAAACCTAAAACATTAAATTCTAAAATTTACATAAAAATAAATGAAGGTAGGGTACCTATAATTTAACTATATATATATATATATAGGCACTGTGTCAAGACAGTTTATCATTATGATTATTAAAAATATATCAGTAAAATATAATGTATTTATTTTCTATATTGACTCATTTTTAAAATGTATGTGTTTGTGTAAGTATGTATATATATATACACTAACAGTCAAAAGTTTTGCATTTATTTGATCCAAAGTACAGCAAAAACTGTACAATTTTGAAATAATTTAAATATTTAAAACAACTGTTTTCTATTAATTTAGTCCTGTGATTTCAAAGCTGAATTTTTAGCATCTTTACTCCGGTCATGATCCATCAGAAATCATTCTAATATTCTGATTTGCTGCTCAAAACATTTATTATTAGTAGTAGTAGTATTAGTATTAGTATTATACTAATACTAATACCAACCCCTCAGAGGACCTCAGATGATGCCAACCCTGAAACAACATACAAAACTACCACATTTTGCTATAAGTTTGATTGCATCATATAATAATTGCTCTTAATAGTGTTCATCGTCTGTTTGATTACGTCTTTAATTGATTTTTCCGTACATTTCTGCCATATGTACATTAACTGACAGTCACCACTGATAAGCTACCACTAAATATTGTAGAAACTTAATTTGCTGTAAAGTTGCTTTGCAACGATTTGTATCGTGAAAAGCGCTATACAAATAAACTTGAATTGAATTGAATTGAATATTATTATGTTGAAAACAGCTGAGTAGAATTTTTCAGGTTTCTTTGAAAGAATAGAAAGTTCAGAAGAACAGCATTTATCTGAATCTTTTGTAACGTTATAAATGTCTTTATCATCACTTTAGATCAATTTAAAGCATCTCTGCTCAATAAAAGTATTAATTTCTATCATTTCTTTCAAAAAAAAAAAAGTATACTGACTCCAAGCTTTTGAATGGTATAATGTATAATGTTAAAAGCTTTTTATTTCAGATAAATGCTGATCTTTGGATCTATCTTCATCAAAGAAAACCTGAAAAAATGTACTAAACTGTTTTTAAATACTGATAATAATAATTTAAAAAAAATGTTTCTTGAACATCAAATCGGCATATTAGAATGATTTCTGAAATATTGTAGAAACTTAATTTGCTGTAAAGTTGCTTTGCAACGATTTGTATCGTGAAAAGCGCTATACAAATAAACTTGAATTGAATTGAATTGAATATTATTATGTTGAAAACAGCTGAGTAGAATTTTTCAGGTTTCTTTGAAAGAATAGAAAGTTCAGAAGAACAGCATTTATCTGAATCTTTTGTAACGTTATAAATGTCTTTATCATCACTTTAGATCAATTTAAAGCATCTCTGCTCAATAAAAGTATTAATTTCTATCATTTCTTTCAAAAAAAAAAATGTATACTGACTCCAAGCTTTTGAATGGTATAATGTATAATGTTAAAAGCTTTTTATTTCAGATAAATGCTGATCTTTGGATCTATCTTCATCAAAGAAAACCTGAAAAAATGTACTAAACTGTTTTTAAATACTGATAATAATAATAAAAAAAATGTTTCTTGAACATCAAATCGGCATATTAGAATGATTTCTGAAGGATCATGTGACACTGAAGACTGGAGTAATGATGCTGAAAATTCAGTTTTGATCACAGAAATAAATTACATTTTAAAATATGTTCACATAGAAAACAGTTATTTTAATTAGTAAAAATATTTCACAATATTACTGTTTTTGCTGTACTTTGGATTAAATAAATACAGGCTTGGTGAGCAATTCTTTAAAAAAACATTAAAAATCTTACTGTTCCAAACCTTTTGACTGGCATAGCATTTATATCACACACACACACACACACACACACTTCTCTCACCTCAAACACTCACACATACAGACGGGGGTCTGGTGATAGATCATTTTTAATCGCTGTGAAATGCATTAAAATAATAAAGCGTATTGGGAGCGGCCAGGGTGATGAATAGCCCCCTGCCTTCTTTATCGCATTAGCTACACTAACAGAGATATTGCGACCAGCGCGCGCCCAGACATATGTGCCACTTTCCCAATAACAAAAGTCGCATATTAAATTCCAGCACACTAACCAGGGATAAAGGACCGGAGAGAGAGAGAGAGAGTGGGTTTTATTTAGCTTCCGATTGGACTGTGATACTGTATTCCAGGGAATGCAGCCTTGCATTTGTTAGATATTCTTTTTTGTGGTTTAATTGGCTCAATTATCGATGTTCATTAAGTTCCAGGTACTGTTTTTGTACACTAATATGGAAAGCTAACCACCTGCTCTCTCTCTCTCTCTCTCTCTCTCTCACACACACACACACACACACACACATATATTTAAAGGGGTCATATGATGTTGCTAAAAAGAACATTATTTTGTGTATTTGGTGTAATGAAATGTGTTTATGCGGTTTAAAGTTCAAAAAACACATTATTTTCCAGATACTGTACATTATTGTTTCTCCTTTATGCTCCGCCTTTCTGAAACGGTTTGATTTTTACAAAGCTCATCGCTCAGAAAAGTAGTGTTGGGTCGTTCTTGAACGATTCGTTCATTTTGAATTAATCTTTAATGTGACTCGGGAGGAACGAGTCGTCTCGGGGAGTGATTCGTTCAGTCGCGCATGCGCAACATCCTATAGGTTCTGTACTGGAATTAGTCAA